TGGAAAGGTTTTTACTTTTTTTTATATTGTTTTTAGCATTTTGAGTTTATAATAATTATAATGGTAAGTTTTGATTTTCATTTTATTTTTTAATCAAGGAATGGGAAATTGGGTGAGATCAAGTAGGCTTACTAATTAGCTCCTTGGTGACTGAGTACTTGTGGAGCCATCAGTGTGACAAAATCGACAAAGGATTATGAAGCCCCCGACACCAGTGCCATGTCCATCTGATAACCCTTCTCCTCTCTTCCTCCTTTTGCAGAGATGGTTGACGCCATGAAGCTCGTCGCGTCCATGGACGTGGAGCTGACGGTGGAGGAGCGCAACCTGCTCTCGGTGGCCTACAAGAATGTGATTGGCGCGCGGAGGGCGTCGTGGCGCATCATCTCCTCCATCGAGCAGAAGGAGGAGAATAAGGGCGGTGAGGAGAAGCTCGAGATGATCAGGAACTACAGGACACAGGTTGGTTGCAGGCCGAGAGCTGGGACAGGCAAGGGAAGGGCAGGCATGGGTTCCTGGGGGAAGCGAGGGGGTAGGGAGACAGCTCATGGAGGGCTATGGGGCATGTGATAGTACGAGGAAGGCAGGTTTTTTCAGTTATTTGTGAAGGGGAAAGAAGAGTTGGAGGGGGGAGGGTAGAGGTTGAGGAGGAGGAACAGGTAGAGAGAGAAGAGGAGAGGAGAGAAAGAATGATTTATGAGGGCCGCCTCTGAGGGCACTTGGCCGTGGGTAAACACAGGGCAGCGGAGCTACGTTCTGCTTTGTCTGCTGGAGTGTGCGTGGAGTACCAGATTCATTCTTTGTCTTGTGTTTTAATCTCAAATTAAGAGCTTTATGAATGTAAATGAATGCTCTTCTGAAGATTATGCTGCATGTAGAAAAAATGGAAGTAGATGAGGGCCAGGAAGGACTTGAACTTTATAGGAGGTCAGGAATAGCTCGAGGTAGATATTTCATTTGTTAAAAATAGGAAATATAAATGCAGAGTTTTGGTATGTATGAGAGAGAGAGACAATGAATGAATGAATGATTATGTATGGATAATTGTTATTTCAAGTGTAATTAAACTGTAGTTGGGTATTTGTCATGATAAAGTATATGATACACATAAGAGGAAAACGTGTTATGCAATAAGTGTGGACACTTGTTTTTGGATATCGTTAGCTTGTATATTTATTTACATTTATTTTTAGTTCAACAAAGTTATTTTTGAATTCTCGTAATTATTTGCGTAGTTACAAGGGAAAAGAGAAAATACAACTTTTTCAAAAAAGGTCCCTAATTTCCCAATAGTCGGTGTCATGAAGGATGAAGCTTTGAGGAGGAACTTGATTCTCACTCTGTGGCCAGACCTTTCCACTAAATGTTCCTTCTCGAGAGGTATCAGGAGTGCAGAATAGAAAGCAGCTGGTCTTTTGTTCTTTTGGACTGAACAAGATGATGTTTTGTATTAACCACACACTGCTGGTGTAACACATAAATAATGGGAAAAATGCTGTGCTCTTTTTTTTGTGAAATGTGTCTGCACACAGATGGCTCTGCTAGTGTTTAGCCACAAAGGAGTCAGTTAGTACACCTTGTGACCTTGCCTTGTTTCACCTTTCCTTTAATTGGCAGGAAAAATGTATTTTTTACCAACGCTATGAATATTTGTTTTATTTTAGTTATGAACAATATAATTGTTATAATGTTATGAACATTAGTTATGGCAAAAAAAGATAACATAAAAAAAAATTGTAATTAAAGGAAAAGGGTAAACTGCCAAGACAGGCAGTACTTGTAATTGGCTCATTGGTGGCTTAGTATAAGTATAGCCATCTATGTGTAAAAACAATAAAGTAAACTCACAGTGGGCATGGCATGGGCATACATACCATTCCTTCGGCATTGGGTTAAAGAATGGAGGAACAATTTATTGAAAGGAAGGGATTTTAATGGAGTAGGGACAGAGGTGCTGCATGTCAAATTCTGAAGTAAATTGGAGATTAGAATAAAAAGGACAAAGTACCACACATTCATTTCTAGGAATTACCCATTTTTAGGACTAGAGTTCAGATTTTCATTGTTGCTATATACTTCTGATATGATGAAATGGTTAGAGCAAATGGACCAAAATAAGATAAAGAAATGCTCAATAAGTAGCTAGGATGAGGGTGCAGTGCAGTGTTCTGAATGTGAAATGACTAGCAGTGACATTTTCAGAGGTCAGTGAATGTGCCTGGAAGCATTACATCCATCTTTCATTTGTACTTCTTTCCTGAGGAATTTTTCTTCCTTATTGGTTTTAGCAAGATTTATTTCCCCACTTGCTGTACATCTAGAAAGAACTCTGTTGGGGAAAATTGATCATTAGGGAAATTGGTCTTGAGGTAAGGGGAGGCTACAAAAAAAGGGAAAAAACCCTTATATCAAATCGATGGACTGAGGTTTCTCAGCAAGCCACTCAGCTGTTCCTTGTAAATTGTTAAAGAGAATGTGGTTTGACTAACAAAGCAAACCA